AGTAGTATAGGCTAGGTTGAAGGAAGATGGAATATATTGGATTTCTTGTTGCAGAGAGTGAATTGTAGCTTGAAGGCCATAAGAGGGAAGTCCATTTTTTTAAAAAGTCCATGCTTGATGTTGATTTGGTTGGTAAGGACGAAGTCATGAAAGCGACAACGTAGTAGGAAACAAATCCACATTTTTCGCGGGAAGGGCGTGACACGGCCACAGATGTATGCTAGCGCCAAGTTATTTAATGCTGGCATGCTGGCATGTTGGGTAAAGCCGTGTCATACTCAAGGATTCCTCGGTGTTGCTTTTCTTATTTATCAGATTACTACTATTGTTATTTAAGGGGAATTTCAGTTAAAGATTTAAGAAAGAGCCTTAATTATTGATAAGTTCCAGAACAATTTAAAATCTCAATTCAATCTTTTAAGATTGAAGTGAAAATAATTTAAATGCTGAAAAAATAAAAACATCCTTAGTTTTTTTTTGGCCCTGAAATATATGTAGTTTCAGTTGGTAGAAAGGAAAATGTGAGACATTGATTGGTTTGAATGTCAAAACAATTTTCCTGACAGTTTTTGTTTTTGCTTTTTTTTTTTTTACCTGATCTTCCTGACAGTTTGGAAGCATAGGAAAAAGACTGAACAGGTAAGCGTACAAGAAAACAAAAACTAAATATTTAATATTTAATATTTTTAAAATATATAATAAGTTTTATATTAAATAAAAAATATTATCCTAACTTAAGTTTTTCAATAAAAAATAGTAAAGAACTAAATTTAGTCTATGACATTTTAGAGTTTTAAATTTTTACAATGAACTTTTTAAATATTGATATATTAAATTTATTTTTTAAAAAATAAAAATAATTGATATAAAAAATAATTATTTAAAATAAATGATATTAGAATTAAAGGATTAAAAAATATTTTATAAAATTAAAATTTTATATAGAATTAGAGAATTAAAAATATATTTTTATTTTTTATGTGAAGGGATATGCACATGGGTTATCTAAATGAAATTTTAATGGTCCTTTTAATTTCTTTTTTTTCATTTTTTGCTCCGGATATTTAGAGATTTCATTATTTTATTTTTGTGATTTTAAATAAAAAATTATTTATTTTGTAAGCTGATAGTTATAAAGATATTATTTGTATTTTTCATCTTTAATATAAAAATAATTAAATATAATTAAAAATAAAAATATAAACTATTGAAATTATATTTTGATGGTTCAGATTTCCAAGGCTATCAATAAATAATACGTGTGCTTAATTCAATTTAGTTTTATAAATTGGGGGAAGTCTCATAATTTAGAGAAATTTTTAGATGGACCTAGTACAGCATGTCATCCATGATTCATTTAGTAAAATTACATTAAATCCATCAAATAAAATATTACAGTATGTGTTATTTTTAATAACTTTATTTTTATAATAAAATGCCTATTTAATTATTTTTATTTTCTCTTTCTACTATCATTAATATTAGAATTAATTTATATTTAATATTATATAAATGTTGTATTTTTATTGGATGAATCATGGATGACATGATGCACTAGGTCTACCTTACTCCATTATTTATAAGGTTGTCACTTGTCTAATAGTGGAGTTTTCAACAACATTATCATTTACTCTTTCTGTTAAAAATATAAAGTATTTTTAACCGAATCTTACTCACAATAAAATAGTTACTTGTTTTCAAAGTAACCTTATTTTTTCATATTTACCCCTATTTAATAAAATGTTTCACTCTAAAATAAATATAAAGTTATTTATTTAATAAGAGCTTCATATTTTTTAACATCTAATCGATCAAAAAATACCTTATTATTTTTTAATGGATGGAGTAATCTATATTAGTGGTTTGAATGGAATAGAACATTTAAAAAGGTGAAAAGGAAACATTAAACTGAACTTGAGATTATGGTAATTGATTGAAAAAAAATAAGGGAAACGAAACTTAAATCTCAAAAGATGAATTTAATAACGGTTAAATTTTAAAAATAATTTTATCAAAAATGAACTACAAATGTTAATTCAATCAATGATAGACATGAGAATTTTAATTGCAAACTAGACATTTAAATCTCATGTAACTCACAATGATTTACCATTGATAATCCCATACATGCAATGACTTCAAAGTTCAAATGGTATTTGAAACTTATTTTTGAGGAAAAAATATCTTTAACTTTTTTATTTTTGAATCAAATTTTTAAAACTATCACCAGACACTTGAATTAATTGGTAAGAGAGCTGACCCCTTTTAATTAGAGATCTTCCATTTGAATGCAGCAGCAATTAAACTTTTGGTGAGAAGCACTCACAAGTTACTGACCAACAAACTTTGATAAAAAAAAAATAGAACATGGGACTCATGCAATTTGAAAAAGGAAAATATCATTTAAAGATTCCTGAAAAGTTTTTATATAAAAGAAGAATAATATAAATATGAAATTTTATTGCACTCCCTCAATACCTGTCTAAAAATAAGATTTTTTTTTAAAAACCTAATCACCCCTCAAAATTAATAATTTAATGGGGTGTTGTTAATTACGTATCAAAACTGAATACATGTTTATTTATGAAATACCAACACTTGTATAATTAAGCACCCACTATCAGTTATAGTCACTTGTTAATTTTAAAAGGATTGTTAATTATGTATGGTTATTTGTCAAAATTTAAATATATGTTTGTTTATATAGGATCAACACATGTACAATTAAATATGTTTGATCACTTATGGTCAGTTGTTAATTTCGAATAGGTCATTATTAATTATGTAAAGTCACTTGCCAAAATTTAAATGAATATTTATTTATGTTGGATTAATACTTATACAATTAAACATGTACTATCCATTTTTGCAACTTGTTTGTTTTCAAATGAGTTATTGTTAATTACGTATGATTATTTGTCAAAACTTCTAAATGGATACTTATTTATACATTCATAAAATTTGAAGAGTAATTATGTCTTTTTTTCACAAAATAATATGTTCAAATAAGTAGTTGAGAGTGCAATTTAATTTTAGATTTTTTTAATATAAAAATTCTTCAAAAGTTAAAGGAATTTTCCCATTAAAAAATTTTCAGTCTCACAAAAGGGTAAAAGGTAAGGTGGTGTGTAGGATTATTGCTGCCATGTTGGGTTGGCCCATATTTCTTTGGGAGAATGAATGGTAGGTTTTGTTTGGAGCGCCACGGGATGTCACTGCATCATCATCATCCCTTATCCTTTGTCACTTGGGACCACTGTCTCTGTTTTAGCCTCTGCCGACACATTTGGACACAAAACTATGAAAACATTCCGAAATGTTTTTTTTTTCCTATTAAAAACTCTATACATTATAATTTACATCAGGAGGTCACATTTTTGTCACAGCAAGCTGTTTTAATAACAACACCACCTCTTTTGCTTCAAAGAGATTTTAAGTTATTTTGAATATGACGCTGACATGTTTGTATGTGTGTTTCCTTTTCAGCTTTTATTATTAGGAAAGGCTAAGTTAAGATGTTCTTTGAGCTTGTGTTACTTTAAACTTAAGAGACATGATATACTCAGTAAGTGTGATACTGTGATATCGATGATAACGGTTTGAACTCATTAAGTATTATTTTAACAACTGTTGAAAATATGCATGAAAAGGCATTGTTTGAGAAAAAAACAATCCTTTGAATGACATTTAAATTTTACAAGAGATTATGATTGTAGGAATACCTTAAGTAAAAAAAAAAAAAACTTAAGAGATATGACTAAATTATTGATATTATATGAAAAAAGAAATTTTTTAATCAATCATGCATCATTACAAATATTTTCTCTTTCCTTTGTAATCCCTTACCAAATTTATAAAAAATTGAAAAATGATAAAATTGAAATAAAGTATTTATAATCCATTTTTTCATGCAAAGTTATGTAGAAAAAGTACTATCAACGTTTTTAAAATATGATTTATGTATATGGGATTGGAGAAGAAATACACACATTCTCTCCTTGGATATATTAATGTCTTAGGATGCCATAATCATTGTTATGCACTTTTGCTGCGCAACAACTTGAACTGTTGCCGTAAAAGACTTATCAATTTGATTTATGCTATCTAAAACACTGTGACTTTTAATTAGTATCGTTGCGCTGAAATGGAACATATAAGAAATAAAAGGAACAAAAATGGAATATACTATTAAAAAAAAATCCCACCGACACAAACCTTCGATAATCTCGGTCAAATGGCTCCAGCCAAATTCGCCTAGAATTTAACATTATACGATAGAATTATATATATTTTTTCTTTTGTAGCATTCAAACATAACGAAAACAACGTAAAAAAGAATTGATTCGTCGTTTTATCGAGGTTGAAACGACAAGCCCTTGGATCCTAAGGGGCACATGCAATGTCTGACGAGGTTTTGCTTTTACTGAACTGAAAAACTGACGTTTGTCGCAGTTTTAATCTGCTCTAGACAAGTACTATATCCAGCACTAATTTTAAAAACATTTTTATTTCAACTAAATTGAAAAATATTATTTCAGGAAGGTTGAGAAAATTTAATATCAAATAAGGACAAAAAAAATTTAAAATATTAATGCAGAATTAGATGACTGGTTTTGATGAGAAAATTTAATATTAAACAAGGATAATTTTTTTTAAAATATTAATGCAAAATAAGGGGACTGGTTTTGCTGAGAAAATTTAATATCAAACAAGAACAATTTTTTTTTAAATATTAATTCAAGATTAGGGGGACTGATTTAAAAATAATTTTAGATAGAAAAAGACTATAATAATTTTACTTAAAATACATAAGTTTGTGTGGGATTATTTTTTCACAAAAAATTAAGATACACAATTTTTTCCATCAAGGAACTAGGAGCCAGCAAGTTCAAGATTCATTCATCAGAAAAAAAATTAAGAAAACGAATATTCCTGATAAAAGAGAATATTAAATATAAAATAAAAACATTTCATTTTTAACTTATCAAGGAGTACGTATACATTGATCTGTGATTCTAGGACTAAACTCAAATGAAAAATATGTCCTATAAAATTTTTCTCTTTTTTCTTTTCTTTGGCGAGCGTGTCCTATAAAGCTTAATTAAGTTGCTCTAAAGATCAAGATGAACAAACCCAAACTAGGATGAGTCCCAATCGGGAATGTTAGCAGTAGCCTCGTTCACCATCTTCACCAGAGTCACCTGCAAGCATGATAGTCATTTAGCGGCTTAATAATGCTTTGGCTTCCTGGCCATTTCAAATTATATGTCTAAGCTTTCAAGTAAATGTCCAAAATTAATTTTGAGAAAAATATAATTTTCAATCTTTTAAAGGTTTTTTAAATTATCAATTCAGTCACTCAACTTTGACTTAAAACACTTCAATCACTGTATTTTCTCACAAGAATTGGGTTGTTTTAAATCAAAATTCAGAGATTAAATAGATAATTGATTTTTTTTTTTCAGGAACTAAAGTTGCATTTTCTCATAATTTTGTTACATTCTAACAGATGCGTAGTTACACCAAATCTCCTTTGGATAGAAATGTGATCCAAGTACAAGCCTTTTCCTTAGAAGACATCTTACGCCTCCTCCTCATCTTCTTCTTGTTTTTGTTTTTTTTTTTTTTGGTGAATTACGCCTCCTCATCTTATGATGTTCTTGTATGCCTTGGCTCCCAGGCTTAGGATGTGCTTGGAATCATGTCAGGGTAGGGTCAAAACCGTGATTTGGCAAAAGCAACCTGAACCACATTTTGGCCCCCATCAGCAATAATTCCAAACATGCATTTGGTCACTTTTGTCACATGCGGCCTTACTAACTTACACCTTAATTCTTTTTTTTTTTGTTCCCTTTATTGCATCAAGAGAGTTCGAATCCTGATTCTTATCCACACTCCGCCTAGCCTACTACCGCCATTTAAGGTCTAATTATAGGGCAACATGTCAAACAAGTAATCGCCTTGCCAGGTTAGTGCTGGGCGAACTTCAAGGGCCAAGCAAGCAACTTAGCACCATGAATGTCAGGGCACGCTCCTTGTTGGTGTCATGGACATTATCATATTTATGAGTGTTGGAGTGCAGTAGGCACTTGTGGGCGCTCTATTTTTTGCTTGGCCAACTAATTCATGAATATTTACAATGGGGCTCCCTAGTCCCTACATGTTTGTTCAAACTAACACCTTATTCTACGGAGGAGCGCTTGACTTGAGCTTGTCCTTGCACAAGCTTGGATCTCTCTCCATTCTCTTCTAATTTGTTGTCGTTTTCAGAAGGAGATAGAGTGATAGACATAAATAGGGCCCATCACTGAAGTGGTTCCCACAGATTCAAATAAGACTCGCCATTTGAGTGAGTCTAATATATTATGCACCCATCTTTCTTTTAAACTAACAAGAATTGAATAGTATGAAAAATAATTTCTTTGAACTGGACTAGTAGGGCATGCATGTTGGGAGGCTAACGAGTGCACTAATTGGATTGCCAGAGCTGCACCTGATATTAAAGGCCAAGCTAATGTTTTCACTGATCCTCCAATGAGCTTCAAGAGACTAGTTGATTTAGATAAACAGATTTCTGAATCACTCTGTTCCGCTTTTTTTCTTTTTATGGTTTTGCCATAACTTTTCATTTAAAGAAAGTAGAAATGACCTAAACTTCATCTTACAGTAGGCCCCTATTACACGTGCAAGCGACATGCTCACACACTACCACTCTTCAAGTGTCCCTAACATCAGAAAACTCAGTAAACATACTCTTCTATTCGGATTTCCACCATTAAAGAGAGGTAGATAGGGGAACCAAGATGGATGAAAGAACATTTCAGGCACCATAGAATTCATTGGCACGGCTTGATTTGTACAGAGAACCCTCAATGTTTCTATGGCACAAAACAAGGGACATAATTATCAGCATTGGATGCATAAAACAAGCAAATGTTCTAGCGCAGACAGCACTAGCTCATACGTTAGCTTATAATCCATATTATTGCCTAATAATGTCAGGCAGCATTAAAAAATGAATGTCTGGATTCTATTGATGCTGGTGGCCTATAGATCTAACCAAGTCTCTAAAATATTTATTGTTCTGCCTTGGTGCTGCAGTGCAAATAATGTCACTTGTCAAATCATTCCCTACAGAAGCTTCATTTCATTTTCATATACAATCTTAAAATATGGATCACCAATAGGATAAATACGGTGCATTGCTTAAAAACAATTAGCATAGAGGAGACATACCACACTTTCAGGAACCCCAGGCGGGGGTAAAGGCAGATTTCTAGGTACAGGTCCTTGTAAGTATGACCTTTTGTCAAATCTCCACTCGCCAATTTTGCCATATGTCAACTCACCCTGAGCGTCATGGACCATTATATTGTATTTAAACCCAGAAACAACAAATTTAAAATAAAAGAATATTTTGTTTGTCTCAATAATATTTCATTACATGATATAATGCAAGTCTCAATACCCCAGAGCCGTACTGGTTTAGAAATGAAATTCAGAATAAATTAAAAGAACGAAACTTTTCCATAATTCAAGTACAGGAAAGGATTAAACACACGTTACCTTTAGATTGTAGTCACATCCATAAGTATAATGAAGAATGTACTTGTTCTTAGTTTCAAGATCCCATGGGGGCTGAAAAGTTACATATAGAAAAAAGTGATTTTAGAACTGGGAATTATTGCTATATGAAATCCACTTAAACTGATAATAGTATAAAATAAACACCACATCGAAAAATGATATGATTATGCCTAACCTGCAGCATGAAGTCTTTACGCAAAATATGCCGCACACCATGAAGGGCGGAAGCTATAGCATAGGCATACCTGAATTGAACAAGAAGAAACCAACATAACATCAGGAAATATTCCTTCACACAAATGTATTATACTGCAACATCAACTGTCTATTATTTGGCCACACATACATTTCTAGCACCCATCCAAAAGCTTTATCAGTCTCTGGGTCCTCTTTCATCCTCAAAGAAACATTCATCCATGTTGGAGCAATCTCTGCAAGCAAATCCTGTAGAAAAACAACAAGAAGCAATATATAAAGCTGCCCAAGCCAATCACACCATCCAAGACGATGAACAACAAACACGCAGGAGCAGGAGCAGGAGCTGCAGCAGTTGTTATTTGATTAAAAGAACCACTAAAATGATAAGGACATAGCAAATTATTCAATCATGAAATTTATTATCTACCAAGGTCTACCTTACTAATAATTACAGGAGAATTGCCAATTGGGTCAATGTTTGTGACCGGTCCAAACTCTTCGGGATAATACTTCCTTACAATTTTCTCATTCTGATCAGGCCTGATGTAAAAAAATGGAAAAGCAGCAGGATGTCCTCGATAAGCCAAATTAGGCAGAGGATTTATGAAAATGTGATCAGGTTCTGCCATCAATATGTATCTACATCAAAAGTGGAGTGGCCAATTTAAGTTTGCGTGCTAGTAACATAAAAGAAGGATCACTCTGAATAAAGATCATACTCCTCCTCTATAGTGGCCTGTTGCAACCACTGAACAAAAGCCCATGGCCTATTTAAAACAATATATCCCTACAAATTACACAAGTAATATGTCAGTAAACCCTTATAAGAATTAATTGGAAAAAAAAAAACAGCACAAGAGTTCATTTTTCTCCTATAAATTAAGCACAAGCAACTTCCAAGCAAGCCGTTCAATACCAAATATTTATGATAACTTTAAATGGAAATCAAAAAACAGGAATAAAAACTAGAAGATAGAAAAACAACTATGAAACATGTCAAGTCAACATTATTTTCCTTCAAAGATAAAATATATTTCATGGATTATGTAGACAGAATTCTAAATTCATGGAAAAATATTTGCCCAGTAAACATCTGGAGACTGAAATCTGAAGCTTTTGAATATTATTTTACAAAAGGGACAGGGGAAATAAAATCCTTTAACATTAATTTCTTAGAATTAGTTTACCACTGTAGAATGTTAAGACTCTGAACCAGTTCCAAACTGAAGTTCTGTAATTATTTTTACCCATCGATACATAGTCTTTCCTTAAGCTATTACTAATGTTTAATGTCATTAAAGAATTGTAGACCCCTACTTTATTTGAAGTTATAAAAGAGAATAAATAATCAATCAACTTGAAAAATGAAGATATGAAAAATTGCAACGAAGGGTCAAGGATATATATATCAAGAACTTCAAAGATAATGTTAATTTCTCTACTGGTAACTAATGTGTCTTTTAATCAATCAGATAAAATGACAGAGACAAGCTAGTAAAGATAGAAAACAGTTAGAAAATGGATCAGAAAATAGTAAGCTCACCCGGTCCAGACCTGGTGGAAGAGGATCAACTACAACAGTTGGAATTTCATCCATCAAGTTGTCAGCATTTCCTGAGTGTAGAACTCGAGTGAATCCTCCCATCTCTGAGCCAGGCATATTCTTTTTCTGTTTGTACCAGTAATACATGATCCGGCACTGCCATTTGCTGTATGAAGCATCAGTTGCCGTTAAGGCAATATGAAAAGGTGCCCTTGTTGTCTTCCGATTCTTCAAATTCTTAGGCATCTCAACAATGGGGTCAAACAACAACCCATCATCCATAGAATCAATCACCAAATCTTGTGAAGAATTGTAGTGCATTATCATATTCACCACATTATACGTTGCAAAGGACGAGCCAATAACCAAAAGAACCAGAAATAAGAGTGAAGCTCGTCCCATGGTCTTCCTATGATTGAAAAATATCAAAATATCATGGGCCTGAACTTTCCTCAGTTATTCATAGAGCAAGTTCTCTGCTTTGTGATCCTTAGAATCAAATAAATCTCAGTAAGTGTTCATTTCTCATCTCACCAGCAGGGAAACTAGATTAATTCACCTCAAGAATACCCAATAACCAAACTGCAAGAAGTTGAAGAACGAATTAAAAAGCAGTTCGGGTAAAAGATATCAAAGTTCTGTTAAGTGACTTGGAAATGAATCTATCATTTCAAATAACTTGCAAGCATTGTTTTATGTGGCAATACTATTGATAATTTGATTGCTTGTAGAAATTAAAAAATATACCATTAAGATTATTCTAATCAGTGTATCAAAAATCTCGAATCTCCATATTTTCAATGGTTGCTAACAGATAACGAAAAGATTAAGAACAATAACGATCAAAGAGGGGAAAGAGGATTAAATTTGTAAAGTAGGAAGGAAACAAACTGAATCTTTCGAATCGGAACACAAACACAAGCAGTTCACAATCTTCGCCTCTCAAAAAAGTTAAAATAGAGTAAAATTCATACTCATGTCAAGAGAACACGTGACAAATAACAGTCGTGTTGGAAGGCATCTATTTTTAATATCGAGGTGATAATTCGAAACTTGGAAAACACGCAAAAGGTTAAAAAAAAAAAATTCCCTATTCAATCAACATTATGTACAGTTCACGCATTTACGTTACAATAGAAAACAGAAAATACCAATATTCCTTTTATCGCCACAAAACTTGGCACATTCTATTTTTCATTGAAACGATAAGAAATTATGTTTCACAACAGAATCATCACTAACTATCATCGAGACTCAAATTAGAACGTTTCATGAATGTATAATTTCCAAGAATTAGATTAATGAAGTATATAAACATCACTTATTAATAACATCAAGAATCAATTCACATTTGATTTTGGCGCCAAAAGCTTGAAATCAAGCGTGAAAATCCAACGAGAAGCAAGATAAACAACGAAAATAAAAAGAAAAGAAAGATGAGAGGCAAAATAGGCTGGCAACATGAAGGAAACAGTTGAACACAGACGATGCAGCGAAATAAAACGTGATTGCCGATCGGAAAGAGTCGTGTTTGCGAACAAAGCTGTGAGTATACGAAGGAAAATAGAATTGCAAAAACGAGAATGACATTTGAGAGAAGAAAGAATGAGAAAGAGAGAGAGATAGAAATTCGCACCTTTGCTTGTGGTTCGAGAAAAGAAGAAAGATAGAGAGAATTGAGAATGAATGATTTTTGGATCAAGAGTTGAGGGACCGTTTGAAAAGTGAAGTTGTACTTCGCAGTCTCTTCAAAGAAAGCGTCACGACGGGGACGAAGAACTGTATAAAAGCTAATCACGGTAATTGTTTTATTTTTGGATTTTATAAATATAGAATTCATTTAATTCAATGGATGTTTATATTTTTAACTTTTTCACAAATTTTGTCCAAATTAATTATGAGACTAATCATTCCATCCCATCTTATATATAAGCCAATTTTTACAAGAATTGATATCATTTTTATAAGTTACTTTACATAAAAAAATTGATAATTAATTATTTTTTAATTTTATTTTTTTTATAATTTTCTATGAGTAGTTTAAGATATTATATAAGAAAAAAATATGATAATTTTCAACAAAAGTGATCTGGAAATTTTTTTTCAAACACTATCAATAATTTAGTTATATCTCTTCAGAATAATTAAAAGTGACTTGTATACAAGGCAAGATACAATAATTTTAAAAGGAAACTAATTGGTCAAAAAAAAATTAAATGGAAACTAAATTGCGTGCACACAAAGTGAGATGAATTAGAAGAGTTTGATTTTTTTCCCCTGTCTAACTAATTCAATTCATACCATCGCTCTCGTTCAAGTTTATTCTATCGAACTGTTTTTTTATTACAAATCAATAATAAATATTGTTTATGAATTATTTTTAAATAAATTTTTGCAGATAATTTCTTATTCATTTTACTACTTTTTTGGTTTTCTTCTTTCTCTGAACCTAATAAATCTTTTACCAAAGGACAAAGGTGACCTCATTCGATGCATTTGGAATTGGGGAATAGACGATCAAGAAATTAATATTTAGATTGGATATCCAAACTCGTAATATTCGAGAGGCCATGAAGATTTATATATAATACTTGTATAAAAAAAAAAGGAAAAGCCCTGCTATTCATTAATCATAGCTACAAAAAAAAAAGTAATTTATTTTTTAAATTTTATACAATGTATATTATACATTACATGATTTACAATCAAAATCAAAATAAGTGAATTTTGTACGTACTCATTACTTATTTGTGTATTTTGTAATTCATTTTGTCATTGATTGTGTTGACGTAAATCGGAAAGGACATAAATATATTACTTTAATCTAATTTTTCCTTTTCTATTGAGTAACAGATATCCAGTATCATAAAATAATATCCAAAAACTCAAGGCACATTCTCTTTTCTTTTATTTAGTGGTGCTTTTTTCTTTTAGATTTTTTTTTTCAAAGAACCAATAAGCTTAAATGGAATCCACTTTGATTGTGATTCTCTTTTCTTTTTTGTCAACTTTGGAAATTTTGGCCTACCCTTTTGTTTTTGGCCTCCCTTCTTTGTTTCAATGTTTTTGTGCCATAACTATTCTCATGGTATGCATTGAAGCCTTGATCTGCTTGTTTTTGTCTCTCTTCTTCATTTATCAACACTCAAGCGTTAACATTTTTATGCATATATTTTAATGAGAGTTAATTCTCTTCGAGATGTAATTACATACGAAATATAAGCCACAGGTAATAATAAAGATTTGAACTTTGAGCCTCAAAAATCAAATTTAGAATAAGCCAATGTCAAATGGTGTAATGTAAAGCTCTTCCTGTGATATTTTTTTCAAATGAAAAAACATTACATTTGGTGTATCTAATTTTATCTTGCTTTGTTATTATGAGTGTATTATTCTATTTGTTGTTTGAGACTTTTAGAGTATTTACAAGCTTGTGAGTTAATTAATTTATTATTCCATCTAGCAATAAATAATTATATGTATATAGTTTTGAAATCATTTGACCATGTGAGGCTTTCAAAATTCTCACAGGCATATAATTAGTTAATTAACTCATTTTCTACTCCCTCCATTCAAAAATATAAGACATTTTTTGAGAAATTGAATGTTTAAAAATGTAAGGCATTTTTAGTTTTTTAAAGTGTAATTATTTCCTTTTTTTTAAAAGTGTCCCTATTAATAATAACTTTATATTTATTGTAAGTGTTTGATAAGGGTAATATGAAAAGATAAGGTTAGTATGAAAATAGATAATTACTTTATTAAAAGTAAGATTAGATTAAAAATGACTTACATTTTTGGACAGAAGAAGTATAACAATAAATTATTGTATACACATAGTTTTGAAATCATTTATTTTATAAAACTTTTAGAGTCCTTATAATTTTATAAGTCAATTAGCTTATTCGATGCAGTAATAAATTATTGTTAGTATATATTTCAAAGCATTTAAAAATAAAATTTTTTCTAAAAATAAATAAAATAAGAAAATCATTCTTAAAAGATGGATTTTATTATATGCGAAATCTTCTTGAATCTTATCAAAATATTGTCCATTAAATTATTTCTCAAAATCTCATCATAAATAAAGAAATAAATTATCTTCATGAATAAAAAGTACAAATCAACATTAAAAATTATTTTATTAAACAATGATAATAATAAATATTTTCCTTTTAATAAAACTCAACCAAGAGACACGCATTGCTGTTATAAACTATGTACGCTTTAATATCTCAAAAGGGTATGTAAGTCTTAAGGTTTTATTCTAAGTTCAACTTATAAATAAATAAAATATTTTTTTATTTTATTTTTTTATCAAGGATAATTAAGATATTTTTAAGATTATATAAACTTATATAGTTAAACTAAAGTAACCATTTATATAAATGAGTGTTGTGGGATGCCTAATTAACACTTTTGATGCACACAATCAACTTTCATACCATTTTTTCTATACCTAAATCACATGTTAAAAAAGTTTTTAAAAATTATCCTTTAAAATTTTATGGCAACTTCTAAATATATTTTTTTCAATTTTTTCTTGAAAAATTTTGGATCAGTCACAACAAAGAGTTTACTTCTACTTTTAATTAATGAGAGATTAGAAAATATACTAGTTATAAAGGTATCAAAAGCAAAAACACAAGAAGAATAAAATATTTGAAATTTGAAGTGATTGACATTTCAAATGGCTATAATATAAAAGCATTTCAAATTACAAATAAATTACAATAAAAAATGGATCAATTCAATTCAAACCTATAATTTTTTATGTATGAAAATAAAGGATTGATTAAAATTCAAATGCATCATAAGATTGTATAATAAAGGTGCCAATAAGGGGTCTCCATTTGCTGATTGCTTTGCAGTCCACTAATAATTACAATGGGCCCATTTAGTTCACATGAATTTAGGATAAGGAAGAGAAAAAGAGTGAAAAAGCTCATTTTCCTTCATTTGGTTGGAATAAATTTAAATTTTCAAAAAACCAAATTTTTTGCCTCAACCTGAAAAATCAATTCTTCATCTACACTCATATTTTCCTTTCTTCACTCCTTCCTTCATTGATAATCAAACCGTCACCTTTGCCTCATCATCATTAACTTTCACCCTCCACCATGCACCACCATCTTTGCCAAACCCCACCTTCCACCGCACATCCAAGCTACTATCTATCATGCCCTCTACCATCATATCAAAGATCTCTCATCTCTTCTCTTTGTCAATCTTTGCTATCTAGAAAGCTCGACTCAGTGGATCCCAACTCTATCATCTATTTGCCTATGGCATACAAACCATATTTTGAAGCTCTATCCCCTCTTGATGATGCTTCAAAGCTCTCTTCCTTTGATTTTGTTTTCTATGGTGGTGGTTATGTGTTTGATCGATTGATTTGTTCATAAAGGGGTTTATTTTTTTACTTTTTGATTTCAATTTGTTTTGTAAGTCGATTGTTTTGTTTTGGATTGCAAAAATAGTCACTTCTCTCATTCCATTATATTTCGATTTTTCTGATTTTTGGGTGGTCAAATGTTGTTCCAATGGCTAGTTATGATTATGATGTTACCGTCTTGCTTTGCAATGGAGAAAATGGGATTTTTTTCCCTTTTTTTTTTAAAGGGGTGTTTTTTCTTTTAAATATTTTTGGTTAATTACATGCTTAATTCCATTCAAATTTTCTTTCATACCACGCTTACATTTTAAAATTATTTCCAATTTCAATTCTATTTTCATTTCTAATTTCATTTTTTATTTTAATTTCTTTAAAATGCTTCCAATGAATCAAATGAGACCTAAATATTTCTTTTAATTGTTTCGTAAGAGTGAGGTTACCGGTTTGACCTTCTATTAATGTGATGGGTGCATAAGTTCTTCTTTTTTTAGTGAGTGAAAGATTTTTTGTTTTTTTAAAAAAAACTGCCATTACCATATATATTATTGGCACGCGATCTATAATTAAGACAATTGGGCCACATTTAATTAACGTATATATAATTTGGCAAAAAAATTAACGTATATATAAAGTTTTGATATTTGCATCAGTTTCTGTGGAAACTGATTTAGGCTTTATTATACAAAGAGTATGTATAAATTTTAAACCAAATTCAGAATAAAATTGAATATAATAATTATTCATGATTTAGGTTCATTTTGGTCAGTTCAATGACACAAGATCAATATTCATAATTATAAGATTCTTTGGTAAATTACATATACCTTTTGTTTTACTTTATTTACAGATGTCTACTTCCATTTCAAAAAAGAATAAGTTAATTTATTGTACCATTCACATCAGAAAACATTTTGTGGAATTGAAGCTAGATAATTTAAACGTATATCGTGGAGGGAAATATTACACTTTTCTTTTTCAGACAAAATAAGAAGGATAATAATATTCGACAAAAGTGTATCATCAATCTTTTAATTTTATATAAGATTATAGTTTAGTCTTTGAATTTTATAAAAGATATTTTCAGTTTTCTAAGTATAGCATTGTTAGTCTTAAATGATGATTTTTTGTCACTTATTATTTTAACATCTTAAACTTAACATGTTAATATTTAAAAATATTGTGTCAGTATTTAATTAAAAGTTCAATGTCAACAATTTTTGTTGAAGAACTTAACCGTGTTAAGAATAAAAGATTAAAAAGGCACTTAATGGTTGTATAAAATTAAATGATTATCTTTTTTTAAAAAAACATTTTATTCAAGATTACGTTTCAACTTCTTTATATTTTTATTCAACTTAGCTTTTGTCATTTTTAAAATTGAAGACTGAATATAAAGAAGTACTTAATTACAAACGAGAATTCTAGGATTTCTGACTTAGCTTTTGAAGGCTGTTTGAATCTCAATGAGCATAAACGTAAATTCTCAAAGCTATCAGCCACATTGATTGAACAAAGCCCAATTCACTTCTAGGCAGTGAGTCAGTAAATGATCAAGATCTTCCAAATTATTTGAGTACATGCAAAATGGATTTTTGAGAGGACAAAATTTAGGAGAAACTTACTTATATATCCATTACAATCAATCAATTCCCTAATCAAAAATCTCAACAGTTAAATTTTATCGTAAATATTATTTTAGCATATTGTGTAAATTATAAAGTGAGAAAAATATATTCTTTAATTTTATTAATAAGTCACTTCTAACATATTTCACTATAATTGAAACAAATTTTAAATTTTATTAATTTTATCTTAAGATTTGATAAGTTTCTAGCTGTGTCCTCTAATAAGGATAGAAAGAATTATTTTTAATAATTTTTTATAGTATTTAATAAAAGCAAAAAGATAAAAATCAATATAAAAAATAGTAAAGTTTCCTTTAAATACGATTAAAATTAATTTTATTTGTTTACCCTATAAATAGTATCAGAAAAGTAAGCATTAAAATTTGATCATGGAGAATTTGTTAAGATGGATAGCCGCAAATAGACCAAAAGTCTTTTGTCTTTTCCCAAAATCGATCTTAGTATGTTAATGGACTTTAAAATATATATTAAATTAGGAATTAAATGAAACCATAAATATCAAAAGCAATAATTTAATTTTCATTTATAATAAAATTTTAAAGTATGCAAAATATTTTATTTTTTTCTTTAATTTTATAAATTATTTTTAATTAGTCTTTTACTTCTAATATTGTTAGTTTTATTAATAAAAAAATTTCACATTAAATTTTCATTTAAATATTGATAAAATATTATCAAATATTGATATATTAAATTTATTTTTTAAATAAAAATAATTAGTATAAAAACAATCATTTGAAACTAATAATATAAAAGTTAGAGTGATAAAATCAATAGGCTAAACTAAAACCTCGTATATAAAATTAGAGAACTGAAGGTCCATTTTAGTCTAAGAGAATAAGGGGTTTGTTTGGCAATATATTCCTAAAACAGTTTTATATTTTCCAAAACAAAAAAAATGTTTGATAATGTATTTTCAAATATTATTTTAAAGAACAAAAAATAAAATATTGTTTTGAATGATAAAAAAGCAGAAACATCTTTTAGGTGTTTTAAAATTATTGTTCTAAAGAATAAGGAAGAATGAGAAAAACACTCATTTTTTATTTTTTTTAAAACATGTTTTATAAAAAGGTAAAGGTGTAAATTTGGTTATATATCATTTTTTAAAGAGCATCTGATACTTTAAACTATCAGATGATGTAAAATAAATTATAAACTTTTAAAAATAGAACATATAGTAGCTCGCCGTTAAATTTAGCTGACGAACATTATGTGAGATCCACAACACACATTAGCATGGTGAAAATATAAATTTAACCATGAACTATTTTCTGAGGAGCACTGAGTAACATTTACTATAAAAAAAAGATTATCCAATACCTTTTCCTCAATTTTGATCAAAAATAATTTATTTTTATACTTATAAGGCCTACAAAATATTAATCTCTCTAATTTTTTTATCTTTTTTCTTAATATCATCTCGAGAAAACTGAAAAAAAATTTTAAAAATTTTTTATCTGAAGACATTCATGAAAACAGCGCTAACAAAATAAAAAAAAATAATTTATGATTAAATTAAGATAAAATTAAGCTTATTTCATGTGTAGTAAAATTAAATTTTTATTTTATTAACATTATATTTATAAATTTTTTTAAATAAAAACTCTTTAAATTTTTTCTGGTTGAACTGATACCTTTTTTTATTGGCATCATGCTACTGATTGCCTTCAAATATTTTTTTTTTTAAGGACGCACCCTTATTTTTACTTTAAAAAAACTTTGATCCGTCACTGCTTACATAACTGCTCAGTGCTTAAATGTCCATTAGCGCAACTCCCGACCCACTGCGACTTTTTTAATATATATATATATATATATGATATGGCCGGAATAAATATTTATATATACTTTGGAAACAAATCCATAAATTATGCGGAGTTGGCTTCCATCGCCTCGGCACGGCTGCTGACAAGGTGCGGAATCTGAACCTATTCAAATATTGGACGGTGCATATTTAATACTTTTTATTTAAAATTTTTTAATAAGTTTGTTTACTTGTTTATACAGTCAATATTTAAATTAAATGATCTATATTTAATATAAAATTTTTTAATAAATTTGTTCACATGTTTGTATAGTTCAAATTTAATGTAAATGATTTATATTTAATATTAAATATTTTATAAATTAACTTTTTAGATGTATTTAAAAAAATTTAATAAATTTGTTCACATGTTTGTAAAGTCTATATTTAATATAAATGGTTTATATTTAATATCAAATATTTTATAAATTAATTTTTTAGATATATTTTGAACAGATAAGTTTAATATTAATTTTTTTATAAATTAAGTATGACCTATTCATATTAAATTTAGATTATCCAGACTAATAAACAAATTTATTAAAATTTATATAATTTTTTATTTCAAAATATATAACATAAAAAATAAAAACATCAATCTGGACGGTCCAAATGTAGTGGGTGGGGTGGGTGGAGGAAACCGAGTCCAAATTATACTGCCTTAGCAGCAGCCCCATTTTTTAAAACTTGAAAGAAGCTGCAGGTTGAATTCTGATATTAATATATTTGTGAGTCTCCTTTTTTTTTAGAAGAACAAGGTTAGGGATAATTTTTTTAAACAATGTTTTACAAAAATAAAAAGCAACCCTAATAATTATAACCTATGAGATGTCAAACAGAGGCATAAAAAAATCTTTCAATTTTGCCTTTAATTGAAAAAACATTTACACAAATAATAAAGTGACTCGTCATCTTTCTTTAAGGGAAATTCTTCTATGAATTTAATATATCACATCATTGATGCTCTGTTTAATAAAAGTATTTCATATGAAATAGCTGTAAATATAAATTAATTTTATCATTGATAATGATAAAAAGGGAAAAGATAAAAAAATTAAATAAATACTCTATTTTAAAAATAAAATTATTAAAAATTAAAAAAATGATACTTCATTCGTTTAAAAATATAAGGTATTTTTTAAAATGTTAGATGTTTAAAAATATAAAATATTTTTAATCTTTTTGAGGTGTAATCATTATCTTTTTTTTAAAAGTGCCTCTATTGATAATAACTTTACATTTATTGTAGGGTGTTTAATATGAATAAATATGAAAAGTTAGAGTTAGTTAAAAAGTAAGTAATTATTTTATTGGGAGTGGGATTCGATTAAAAATGCCTTACATTTTTGAACGAATAAAGTAATAAAATTTTTGAAATATATAAATGATAATTTAATTCCTCGAAATGCCATAATTTAACTTAAGTCTCGAAGGATTTCTGTGTTAATAAATTTTAAACTGAAAAGATTATTTTATTTTGATTAACAAATTATGATTTCTCATTTAATTCTTTCGATTCTTTAAATAAAAATTATAATTTAGACTTGTTATTTTTTGAAATTGTTTTTTAATCATAGAAAGTACACTTAATAAGTTATAATTTATTATTTAATTTTTATAATTTACATAAAAAATTGTTATTACTCAAGCAAAAGTTATAATTAAAATTTATTATTTTAAAATAGAAATTACACTTGATAAGTTATGATTTTTTATCCAATCCTTACTATTCATAAAATAAAAATTGTTATTCTTTCAGTAAAAATTATGATTGGGTTTGTTATTTTTATTAAGAGTAAAATAATCATTTCATTTTAAAATTTATTGACATAGAAATTTTTAAATACTTTATTAAAATTGTGGCATTTTAAGAAATTGAATTATCATTTATGTAATTGGGGTGCTTTTATTGTTATTTTTTCCTTAAAAATAGTGATAGACAATATTTTCTTTGATTGATTGAATTGATGTAATTTTATTCAACTGAGGTTGATAGCGCGGTGTAACGGATTGATGCACGAATTCTTTTTTCCTTTAATTAATAATATAAAATTAAAAAATTGAGATTTTTTTAATAAATAAAGCAATACAATATTTTATAATCACGTGAAAGACACCCACGCCCCTTTGCCCTATTTATGTACCCTATCGATTTCTTCATTGTATTCTCGCAAGAAAGTCCTTGTTGACTGACTCTCATCACGCTTGAAAGGAAGCATGGCACTAGTAGGGGCGGTTGGTGCGGCGGCTCCGGTGAAGGTGGTGGCTCTCTGTGGTTCACTTCGTAAATGCTCATACAACAGAGGCCTCATTCGATCTGGTTATTGCTCCATTACCGCTTTCCTTCTATTGCTGTCCCGTTATGATCAGAAACTTCGATATAAAAACTATTCTGTCCCGTTTTCTTTGATTTTGATTGGTTTGGTTACGGTTCTGATTTGTGGAATTTGGATCGATGATAGCGATCGAGATGAGCCAGGGAGACATTGAAGGTCTCCAGATTGAGCACGTCGACATCGCTTCTCTGCCGATGCTGAATACAGATCTTGAAGAAGAAGGGAGGTTTCCGGTGGAAGTTGAAGCGTTTCGTCGGAAGATTCTGGAAGCCGATAGTGTTCTCTTCGCTTCTCCGGAGTATAATTTTTCTGTCTCTGGTAATCTACTACTCTGTTTCTCACAAAATCTGATTTGAAAATTGAAACTAAAAGCGACTAACCGAGCTTGCTAAATAGAGAGTTTCAGGGATAATCAAGGGAAATTATTGCATGCGTTGTGCCATGTCATTAGTGCTTTGTATGTCTTGTGGAAATATTCCATGTCAAATAATTCAAAATATAAGTAGATTCTAATCATAGATAAATTAGCTTGTCGAAAAAAATCTTGTGCATAGAAAATATATGAACCAAATTTTTGAAAAGTTGAGGGTAAGATCTATTCACATTGATATATGAAAAAGTTATCATTGATATACAAAGAGTTTATCATTAAAAATTTACAAAAAAATTATTATTAATATACAACTGTATATCATTAACAAATATAATAAATTAGTTATAATGTAAAATATAATAATGTTAAACTGTTTGCTTAATTTGATTTATAATATGGACTATATTTACAAAAGTCCCTTTCTATCATGTGTTTATGCAAGAATTTGTTTAAAAAAAAGAATTTCTCAAGAATTTTACAAAATAAAAAAATAATTTTATTTTAGATATATCATGTAAATATAAAAATTAGACTTGTAAATAAATAGAAGAAATCGTTAATTTCTTTATTTGAAACCTAATTGTAATTCTCCTATAGTTTCATGTTTACTAATTTTATTTTCAAAACTAAATTTGATCTCTATTTTTTTAAACTAGAGCAACCTTGTGTTGATTTCAAATAGGAAGTCACCTTAAAGATTTGCTAGTATCGTCCTTTTCTATTTTGCCACTCACGTTTGCTCTGTTTTTTTTTTTTTTTACTTTACACTTTATAGATTTTATTAATCATTTTGTCAAAACGTACAACATTAATTTTGAGAATAGTTTTTAATTTAGTCATTTTCTTGGTATTTTTATTTAAATAGTGATGTCCTATTGTCCTTTACTCAATAATGTTTGGTTTTTGTAATTTTTATTTTAAAAATAAAGTCACAGGTTTAAAAAAAAAATTCTTACATCCATGTTATTTATTAAATTGTATTTAATTAATAATTAATTAGATGACATAATAAAAGTAAAAGTAATTAATGTAGACGCAAAAGTTGAACTTACAAATATTGAAATTTGACATGTAAATAAGACTGAAAAAATAATTAATTTTTTTTATTTAGAACTTATTTGCAGCCCTCTGTGTCTCGCTCGTGTTGGAATATAATATATTTATCACCTGTTAAATTTTAAGCTGTTAAAAAATAAAAATAAAATTATATTAAATTGTGGACCATCGATTTTTTACCTGGATGGTCTAAATTTGGTGCTCTAAACTGAATCAGAGGCGATTCAAGCACACAGATTGGGAACACAGGAGAAATGAACATAATGTACTCACTTCATCCATTTCGACCAAAGCCAAACAACTTATGGGAGTATCAGTATAAATATATAGCGAAATGCCGAAATGTGTATCCAGATAATATCCCAGTCTCACATCCCTGTCCGCACACTCATTCACTTCCTAAACTTCATGGACGATCTCAATCTCAACATTTTTAAAAAAAATTATTTTTCAATAAATAATATTATATTCTTCTAAACCAACTTCTCTTTACCCCCCCCAATAGGCCAATATTTTCTTATATGTCCAACTTCTCTTATTTCTATTAGTTAGGCAGCATTTAGATTGATGGATTTAAAACTTAAATTTTTAAGTTAAAATCTTGGATTTAAAATTTAAATATTAAAATTCATGTATTTAAACTATTTTGTTTAGATAGTGTCAAAACTTTTAAAGGCAGGAGAAATATGAGTTGATATTCAAAACAAAAATGAAATATTAGGAGTGAAGAGCTTAATTACGTCTATTTTTCAATTAATAAGAGATAAGAATGAGAGATTAGAGGAAAAACAAGAGTAATATAAGTACTTATAGTGAAAACGTGAATAAAATAAAAAGATTAAAGTAGCTGAAATTTCAAAAAACTAAGGTTTAAAAAAATTTAAAATTATAAAAAAGTTATAATAAAATATAAATTTGGATTTGGCTTATCAAATCCAGATTCATATATTTTTATATATCCAAATCCAAATTCTCATACATCCAAATGCAGTATTAATTAATTTGAGTATGTAATTCACGTTGTAATGAATAGCACCGATGAAGAATGCACTAGACTGGGCATCAAGACCTCCCAACGTGTGGGGAGGCAAAGCTGCGGCCATTGTAAGTGCTGGAGGGCTGTTAGGTGGTGGAAGAGGCCAATTCCATCTTCGTGACATTGGAGTGTTTCTTGATCTTCACTTCCTCAACAAGCCTGAGTTCTTCCTCAATGCCTTTGAACCTCCTCCTAAGTTCAATCCTGATAATGGTGACTTGCTTGATGAAGATGTTAAGCTTAGACTGAAGCATGTCCTTCTCTCCTTGAAGGCTTTCACCCTCCAACTTCAACCTAAGACCTGATCATGATGATGATGAGTAGCTACTTTGATTTTCAGAAATTGTTTACATGTAATAATAGAAAGCTGTCTGATGATGATCAGTTGCTGTATGTTGGTCCTTTCGGAAACCACGTTGGGTTATCGGGACTGGGATTTGAAATTAAAAAAAAAAAAGTGCTAATGCATTTTGTGTTTTCTTCTAAGTAAATAATTTATATAGCTAAAAATTTAAAATACAAAGCACTGTACTGTATTAAATTTTTATAAACATGCTTCTTCTGTCAATTGATTTTGTTTGTATGGTTATGATCTTGCATTGCAATATACAAACAGAGATGGGAAAAAATAAACTCAATTTTATAATTCAAAATAGCTTTGCATTTGATAAAAAGATGAAAACTTATTTTATTTTTTATTTTATATTTAAAACAACAAATATTAAAAAGATAAATTTTGGAAACTATCGAAACATAGTAATAGGAAAAAAATTTATTGCATGATGCAAATATGTTCTATTAATAAGCAAACATTTAAATATATGGTTAATCAAAAGGTAACATTCAACGACTTTACTGACTGTAATCTTTTTGATTTTCTTCTACCACTTTTCATGGGACTAAAAACTAGATGTTCCACCTTTCTCAATGGATTCCATGCCCACTCTTTGGCATATATGATTGATATAAATCTTATTTTTTTTATACACATATGCCTACATATTTATCTCAACATACTCACACTTGCTAATTTTAATTTTAATTCTTGTTGTTCATTTAAAGTTTAGCATTTATTATCATATAGGACAGCTGGAACTATAGTAATTTGATAAAAATTTTCTTTAAACCTATTAAATATTTTTTGATTACAAATAACTTTTTTAGGTTACATTTGTTTATTAGAATAAAATAAAATGAAATAAATTAAAAAAATTAAAATAGAAATGAGCTAAATTATTCTTCTCCCATGGTGAGCAATATAAAACTCATTAATATATATTAAAAATGTGAGAATCATTACATTTTTTAAAAATCTTATAAATTATGATTCTCAACTTCACAAACTAAATTATCCATCTCTCATATGAATGTGTTCACATATTCTCTTTAATCATCTTATTCTTATCTTTTTTTTTAATTTAATTTAATTTATTTTTGTTTTGGTAAGCGAGCCTGACCAAGGTGTTTTTTGATGCAATTTTTTTTGCATGTAAAGAGCTAAACAACAAAGCTAAATGTCGTTTTTGTTGTGAGGCTGGCGGCCTGCAGCCGCCCCCTTTAAAAGAGGTCCCTGTCACTTCGCTTTCGTGAAATATCGGATTAACATTTCACACACACACACACACACACACACAAACCATGCGCTCTCTTTTTTTCATCAGAAGACAAAAAAAAGAATGCAGTCTCATTTCATCCTGTATCCAATTTCTTCATTCCTTGAATTCTTCCTGACCTATTTAGAAAGGGAAAAACAGGCTTGTTAATTTTAGTCACCACTCATCATGTTTGAGTCACCTCGTACCATGTTACACGTCAAGTCTTGAACCTTCCTCCTGCCATCAACTTTATATGTTATTTCTTTATCAATTAAATTAAAATATATCTACAATTACAACATAAAAAATTAAATATATATTATTTATTTATGAATGTATATCAAGTAATATATTATTAAAAATATACATAGTTATATATATTATATTGAGAGAATTATTTTAAAATTTCACATAATATAATTAAATATTATAAAGTTTATTAATAATTGAACCAAAAAAATAACAAATAAGCATGTGTTTAAATTAAAAAATTTATAATTGAGGTTAAAAATCAACTAAAATTAAAAAAAATTTGTGATTATAACATAATTTATATTTAAATATTTTTTAAAAAAACCTGTTGTATAAAATAAAATTTATTCAGGTGATTTGATTTAAAAGATAATTGAGATATATGACAATAAAAATAAACATGAATTTTTTTCATATATTTTTTTTAACTAATTTAATATTTTTTTAAAAAAATCAAAATTAAACTCAAAGCAATAAATTAACGTAAAGCCCTTCAGCTTGTGTCCTTTTCCACTGTAACTGATCGGCTTTCAAATCAAGAGGCAGAGAAAGCTGGTTGCCTCAGATCCTCCTCCTCTTCTTGCCTTAGATTCTCATCTCGCATTTCCCTTCTCTCTCTCTCTACATCAGGTTTTATTTCTTTCTACGCACTGGGCTCCTCCGAGATTTTTTTTCTCTTTTTGAATAACATAATGAGTTTGTGGTTGGTTTTTTTTGGAAACAATCACTCTTGATTTTCAGGATAGTCACTGTGCCACCGCCAAGCAAGAAAGCTGCATGTATGAAGGAGGAGAGAGGAAGGAAGAAGCAAAAAGCTCGCGCAAGGCTAAAGGCGGAAGAAGAAGGTGAAGAAAACCAAGAGTGAGAAAAATTTGGCACACATTCAAATGAACGCTCCCTCAAACACCTTCAGAAAATAAAGCCATTGGAGTGTCACCGCTCGTTTATTATTATTATTAATTTTTTTTTTACCCAAACAAAATTTAACTGAGTGTTTTATCCTAAGTGAGGTTTGGATCATCCTAACCTCACTTAAGGAGTAAACCAAACATTCACTAAATGTATTGTCATTTTTTTATTTAATTGTTAATGAATTTTATAGTATTTAAATGTATTGTATGTGATTTGTATGTAATTCTCTTCATTATATTTTATTTTTAATTGTTAATATGATGAAATAATTTATATTTATATTTATATTTATATGGCATTTTATATTATAATTTTTCAATAAAATATTATTTTTTTGAAAATAAACTTAAAATAAAATAAATATTAAATATCAAATATTAAATAATTTTATCGTAAATATTTTAGTTCATTTTGAACTTTATTTTTATTTTCAAAATGAAAATAATAAATTTTAAAATTAAAAGTTTTTTAAATGAGAATCTCTTGCTAATTATTTATTTTAAAAAGTATAAAAATTCATCTCAATCTCTTTCACTAATTATCTTATTTTAAAAAAATAAATATAAATTTCTCTATTAATTTTTCACTAATTTTCTCATTTTAAAAGAAATTAATGGTTTCTCACCATTTTTTATTAATTTTAATTCAAGATATGTAATTGATATTTGTTGCTAATTTGATAATCTAAAAAATAATAAATGATCCCTCATTAAATTTTTTTTAATTTATATTTTTTTTAGCAGTGTTTCACTAAAAAATTGTGGAAACTAATGGCGCCCTCTTCATTTCTCGAGTATACTTTTTCTGTCACTGGTAATCCTCTATTCTGTTTCCACCGTCACGTTCGTTTCTTTGGGCTTTCCAGAAATTGTTTTTTTTTTTTTTCCACCCATGGTTCCGTTGGGAGAATCAAAATTATAAATCGATTTTTTATAAGGCGTTTGTGAATATATAAAAATGATAATAAATATAAATATAATATTTCCTTTTTGTCACCATATATATAAAGAGAATAGACTTTTTTGCTTTAACAAAAAATAATGTTTTTTGTTAATAAAAAAGTTGAAATTAGTTGAACTCAAGATTCACTGAAGTCAAACATGCCTTCTAGCTTAATAAGGATTTAAAGAGAATAAATTTTATGACAATATGATGTTACATACAAGCTAACAATATTTTGATAGATTTTCAATTTTTTCAATATATATATATATATATATATATCTGCAGAACAAGTTTATGATTATTTGGTTTACATTCTACTCCACCTTTTATTTTGATTTAAAAAAATTTGTGTGAATTGTAAAATGATTTACTTTTTTAATTCTTTAAATAAAATTCAAAATATTTCTATATCAATCATTCAATATTTTTAAACACATAATTTTTTTAACGAACTAGAGTAGTTGTTGCAAGAAGGAAAAGGAAAAGGCAAAATGACAAAGTGGCTAACAAATCTGGCTTAATCATGAAAATTATTTTTTGATTTAAATTGAGTTGTTAATGATTTTCATCAGCTGCTCAATTAGCCGGCTTGATCTGGTTTCTAAAATAGTGCAAAGGACCTTAAAAACAACCTCTTCGGCTTTTGCTTTTGATTTTCTCTCTCTGTTTTTTTGTTAAAACTACGGGGGACCTTTTTTCAGTTAAACCTTTGATTTTCTCTTTTACATCCTTCCCCACACATATGTAACATCTAAAAGGGGGAGGATTAGACACCACAAAATAATTATACTTTAATTTATAATTAGTATTGTCTACTATTATTTGTGTGATTATTAAAAAATTATATTAAAATGTTATTGAAAAATTATGTTGTTATATTTATGAAAAAATTATGGCATTGTAAATATGTATTTTGAAATATTTTTGTCAAATGGAATGCTATATTGTAATATTTTTAAAAATAAAAAAATTATAAAGTTTGTAATGTTATATATTTGTACATTACTAATATATAATTGCTTGACTTTTATGAGAGGAACTGAGAGAGTTATTGTTGTCATATTTTTTTAAAGAAAATTATATATGAGTCTCATGGACTTAATTTATTTATAAATAAGTCTCACAAAATTTAAAAATTATAATTATATTTTTAGGACTTGAGTATAATTTAAAATTTAGATGAAAAGACAATAATTTCTCTATAGTTAGTGTGTGAGAGAGAGAGTGTGTGTGTGTGTATTACATTAGTTAAATAATTTACAACTATTTTTTCATAATTTATAATTATAACTTTAACTTTTTACAATCGTAACTTCCTATTTTCAATAATCAAAATGATCATTTTAACTATTGAATATATAAAGTTATAATTATAAAAAGTTAAAATTATAGTTATAAATTACTGATAAAATAGTTATAAATAATTAATATTAAATTTTGTAAGTAACGCATGATTATTTAACTATTAGATATATAACGTTATAGTTATAAAAAGTTTAAATTATAGTTATAAATTGCTGATAAAATATTTATAAATAATTTATTTGATTGATGTAATATATGTTTAATAGAGATATTATTATCTTTGTAGCCAAATTTTAAATTACACTTAAGTTTTGAGGATCTTAACTATGGTTTCTGAATTTCATGAGACTTATTTGTGAATAAGTCTACTATATAAAATTTATATATATATTTTTTTATTTTTTATGCCACACGGTAGCCCTTAGTGGAGGCCTAGTAGGTGGCTTGTAAGGGTTTGAATTAGCCTATCTTTTGTGAGGTGATCTAGTACTGAGTGAAAGAGTAGTGAAAGAGGTGTTGTAAGATGAACATGTTGTCCAAGACGTGAGTTAATCATTAT